AAAAAAAAAAATGTTCTTTGTCATGTGTGGCCTAATTGGTAGCTAAAGAAATTTTTTTTAAAAATGAGAAGACAAGCCACAAACTGGATTTGGGGGGTGGGAGCAGGGAGGACACATATGTATAGAGAGCAGGCGAGCTGCTGTTGAGTCTGACTCTTGACTATAATGATGGTGAGCCTGTGTACAACAGAATGGAATGTTCCGTGGATCTGTGTCATCCTAATGATTACCAGCATGTTCAAGTCCATTGTTGCAGCTGCTGTGGCAATGCTTCTCACTGAGGGTCTCCCTCACCCTCACTGGCCCTCTGCTTTACCAAACATGATACCCTTCTCTAGCAATTAATCCCTCCTAATGATGTGCCCAAAGCAAGTGAGTCAGACAATGTTCTGTTGTGATACATAAGATTTTCATTAGCTAACTTTTGGAAGTAGATCACTAGGCCTTTATTCCTAGTCTGTCTTACTCTGGAAGCTCTGCTGAAACCTGTCTACCATGGTGACCCTACTGGTTTTTGAAATACCAGTGGCATAGCTTCCAGAATCACGGCAACATGCAAGCCACCACGGTACAACAAACTGACAGATGGGTGGCATATGAGTTCATATTAAGAATACATTGATAATGCCTGGAAAATCAATGCCAAGAAAAAGTTTGTATTCTAAATATCACCTTTTGTCCCTCTATCAGGAGACATTGCCATTCACATCTGAATCAGTTGACTTTAATCTTTAGTGTTGAACTAATGTACATTTCTTCAGTTTAATTTCATGTTCAAACTCTCCTGAACAAGTGAGCAGCTACCTTTTCTTCAGTTTTATTGTAATATTTGGATTTTGTGATTTTTAATTTCACTACAGTAGAATTAGTGGGTTAAGCAAAAGTTGCAGTGCTAAAACACGAAATTTCTCTTTATGTATTTGCCCCCAGTTTAGTGGTTCTTAACTTTTTAAAGGTTATCGACTCCTTGGAAAATCTGTTAGTAGAAATGGACATTCTTTCCAGAAAAAAAAATACACATATCAAATGTTTTACATCAAATTTCAGGATACTGTGATTGAATTGTAATAAGATGAAGATTTAGTTAGAAATTCATGTTTTGTAGGATGTTCTGGTTTGATTGCTTATGCTTATTATCTTAATTAGCTTGTTCCTTCTTCCCTCTCACCCTTTCTTTAAGGTGGATACATTGCAAATAGCCTAGCAATCATGACTGATGCGCTTCATATGTTAACTGACTTAAGCGCCATCATACTGACCCTGCTTGCTTTGTGGCTATCTTCAAAATCACCAACCAAAAGATTCACCTTTGGATTTCATCGCTTAGGTAGGTAACTGGGGATTTCTTTTGGTTTATAATACTTTATAGTAAAACCACAATGAACTATAACCCTTGACTAACTGAAATTTTTCTAGTGATATTTTGTTTGAGTAAAGCAAATAAAAAAAGGTAGATAAGACTTACTCAACAAATCTTCCAGGGTACATTCAGCCCAATCAGATGAACAGTTTACACATATAAAATTATATGGCAGTTATTAGTCTTCAGTTGATGTGCCCTATGTCCTAAAGATGTCATCAGAAAGAAAAAAAATTACCTTCAGTTTATAGAACCAAGCAAAATCAAATGGGTTGAACTCTGTAATGAGCATTTGCTTTTCCGTTTCACCTCAAGCATTCTAATCAAAGCCGCGTTAGCATGCAAAAGGACTGTACAAGGCGTGGAATCACCTTGCAGAAAGCCATTTGGCTTTTGATCTTAGTTCCTGAGAGCCCCAAGGGCAGAGGCTCACC